ATTGGTAGTGTTTGGTAAATAAGTGCTTTTTAAGCCAAAAGCTGAGAAGTGTTTTTTTTAAGCTATTGCAAACACTCCCTTAAGTGCTGGGTTGGCCGTATACTAGCAATTAATGCCAACCTTATGGATTGACGTCACTTTATTTAAACTAGGGATGAGATTGGTTGGTCAAATTTTGAGATCTTTAATTTGGATTTTTAACCGGGCATAATCTTGCTTTTATCAATTCCTATGTGCAGTCTGACATTTGTAGGCTGTTTAAGCTCACATTAAATGAAAACGAGACCGAGTAGGTAGTTGACCATGAACATTTAATTCTGCATTTAATATTCTCGAGCTTGATGAAAGTGGGTACATGATATTGTTCAATGGATAACATTCGGTAAATAAACAAACTTAATGCTAATGCACAATAAATATATAGGGATGATTTCGGAGAGCAAGACCACAGAACATTATGAGGTGCACAGTGCTCTTATGGTGGACTGGGTTATGATATACTCTGTAGCAAATGGCTTGCTGGCAATCTTTAAGAGAAAAATGGTTGGAAATGGCCCTTTGCAATGAGGAGGTATCGATTTTCAAAAAGTTTTAAGATTGGGACTTTTATAATTCTTATGAATATCATTAATCATTACGGAGTACATATTTGTAGTATTTGTAAATCAGATTTGGTGCAGGAGATGATGACACAATGTTGACTACGTTTGCAGTTAACACCCAAAGTGAAGAAGCCTTGATGCTCTTAGTTGCCATGTCACCATAACAACCATCTGTCACATGCTTGAACAACTAAGTACGAATCTTTTTAAAATAATATACATGTTACAAGCCATCTCATCTAACCATTTTGGACTCAATATTTCAGGAAGGAGTCTATTGAACGCTACATGGAAGTATGCTTTCTAAATGGAAAAAGGTGTTGTATTGTTTTTTTTGAAAACATGATCAGTCATTTTTACTTAAAAACTATACCATTTGGACTTCTTTCAAGTAATGCGTGTATATCTCTTTCCTAAAATAATGCAAATAGAGTTTCATGGATTCTTATAGGTAGTTTTATCTACATTTAAGATTCACTAACTGGCATATTGACATTTACATTACACGTTCTAAAAAAAATAGGATGATTTAGTTCAAAAATTACACATTCAGAAATTTATTTTAAATATAATCTGTATTTGATGGTATTTCAATGAGAATGCTAAATAAGTATGCTGAAAAATATGCATATTTTTAAATATGTTTTCTTTTACTATAAAGCTATAAAAGCAAGCATATTTATAAACCTTACCCGATGTATATTTATTTCTTTCTTTCTTTGTTTATATAATTATAAAAATAATATTTTAATATATAAAATTAATAAATAAAAATTGCATTTTTACAGTAAACGCAGGAAGATAGGTTTATTATTAGGCATATAGAAAAAATCTAATTTCATATTTTATTATTAAAGATGTGTGTATATTTTGTTGCCATATAACAAAAAGAGACTGTGTAGCAGGAATAATAGATTCATAAGGTGTAATTAAGAAGCAATAACTTGACAGGAGTCAACGTACCGCTGTTTATTAACCTGCTTTGCCAGTTCACTACATATAGACTTAAAGCCATGAGCAACCATATCACGAATTCAGCTATGATCAAGAAAAAAAAATCTAGCAAAGCATCTCTCACAAGAATTCAAGTTTAAGTCCTGATCTGAGGACTTTCATCTCTAGGAAAGTTTTTTTAGTTAAGTAGGGCTACAGTTTTTCTGCCCAACAGGCTGCCAGACCCTGCAGATCTGAAGGACACTGTGGTGGCTTCCATGGAATCTGATAGTTCTAAAGCTAGGGTTCAAAATAACCACTAACCCACAGGGTATTGTAGTTTAGTATAGTTTATACATAAGGGACTAGAATTTGGTACAGTTTATATAGCAACAGTACCTGTAACCTATTAGGATTGAACAAAAAGTTCCCAAAAAATCATTAAAAAGGTATGAAATCTGATAAAATTGTGGTTTATATTTACGTAGACAATGCAAGTATCACTTTATCACCAGCACGCTAATTCCATATGCTTTCTGAAACATCGTATTGATAAGAATATTATGCAAGTTTATTTAAACATGACAGTGTCGAAAACAAGTTTATTTGATAGTTATTAACAGTTTAGGCTTTAAAATACAATAAACAGGCTACTATAGAGTTTTAAGAACTCTGGAACCAAACTTACTCCTTACATTCTACTAAGTCTGCATCACAAGCACTTTAATTGAAAAATGTTGCCTTGAATATCACTTTAATAATGACAAGCAGAAACAAAACCGGCTTCAACATGACAGTGGCTACTAACATGTTTGTATAATAGCCCGTTAGCACTATAGGTGTTAAAACAGAATAACAAGGCTATAAAACAATCTTGAAAACTTGGAAGCAAATTTCGTTGCTTCATTAATGTACAAGAACCTAATGTATGACAATTTTTGTTATGCAAATTTCATTATTTCAGAAAGTGCAGTGCATTTGTGTCACTCTTTTAAGAATATTACTTTACCAACCCCAATTACCCACAAATATAGTGTAATAAGATGATAGATCGTATTAGGTTTCATATATCCTGAGTCAAATTTGATTAAATAAATAGATTTACGTAAGTTTAAAAATCCTTTTCAAAGTTGCAATACATGACTACTCCCCAACAGATCAAAACAGATTTTTGAATCGTATGATAAATCTTAAAATGGGTAATGAAGCGTCATCGCAGATGTAACATGAAAAAATGTTATTATCAATTAAAATGAACAAGTCAACCGATACAACTTCTTGAATAAAACTTAGGACAAAGATATGATATATATACCCATCGGCTTTCCCGTGGTCGGATCATGGTTTGGCCGCCGTTGTTTGAGTTCGTACACAAACGATCAAGGCAAAGAAAGGAAGCGTATCGCTCAGACTATTGAACTGCCAGAAATCGTTTGGAGGGACGTATGGAACAATGAACGAAGTATGCGGAGCGGAGGGTGTAAGGGCGAAGGTTTGAGAAAGTGTGGCAGAGCAGTAGCGCACTTATCTGGTTGGTAGACAAATCATGAGAGGAAATAAAAGTTGACACAAAAATGCTTAATAGATCAGCGTGTGCAAATAATACGGAATAATGATCAGCAATGATTGATAGACATAATTATTTTCCGGAGGATATTTGAGCTAGGCGGCAGCGCGGCTACGCGCATCACAAAAATGCTTAATCTAACCCTCATTAGACACATTTGTCCTTATTAATTATATACTCCCTCCGTCCCAATTTGATGATCCCGTATTTCCTTTCAGGGCCGTCCCAAATTGATAGTTCCATTTCCCTAATTTCGTCCCAAATTGTTTTGCAAAGTACATATTCTTTTATTAACCAACAGTAAAATTAAATTCCCTGTTGATAATTAATTCAATTTTAATAATTAAAATTTACGTATTTAGAAATTATATTAAAATCTCTACAAAATTGTAAAATCCAAATTAAAATTGAATTAAAAATGATATTCTAATTAAGTGAATAAAATGAATATGTGTGACTCAAGCAACTCAATTTGGGGGAGGGAGTATAAAAATTGCATTAGTTGTTTATTGAGTGAAGGGTGAGTTTGGTCCTCGAAATTGCGTAAAGGGGGTCAAATAAGTCCTTATATAGAACTAGACGAAGTACCCGTGCGATGCACGGGGTGCATCTAGAATAGAATAACATTTTATTATAATGATACGCGATGTGTATTCATGTCAAATAAAAAAATGAGTTTATATGTTATAGCTTTGTATATAAAATGGTAACGGTAAGAAAATTACATTTTGTTTTCTTGAAAATTGCAAGTAAAAAGTAAAATAAACGATATGGTATAATAGTTAGCATATTTTTACTTGGACTATAATTTGATGGTCTGGTCTGATATGATCTGGTCTGGTGTATTTTTATAACTATTCAAGTTTGCTCTGATCTATTCTGGGCTGGTCTGGGACATATTAAAGTCCAAGTAAAAACATCTTTACAGGCGGGCACAATCTAAGATGGTTCAATATTTTGTTGCACCCGTACCTTTACTACAACTATTGAAACGGTCCGGTTCTTTTTTATCTTAGACCTAAACTCGTTCGATATGGTTTCATTTTCAAATGGGAAAGGTACCATGTCATACCACCCAATACCAAACAATGTCACTTTTTTCGGGAAATTAAAGTTTATAGTTAGTCATCCTTCAAAAATCTAAACAATTTATCATTTTTCATATTAAATAATTAATAAATTTCTGATAAACCATAGTAGTACAAACTAAAAATCACAAAATATTAATTTCAGATGTACGTTTATGTTTTTAAATTTGAGATGTAATTTGAGATATACAAAACATTAATCACAAAACATAAATCCATACAATGATATAACATGTACGGTTTGATCTGGTATCGGTTCTCATTTTATGAGAATTGGTCATGGCATGGTTTGGGACTGGTACGTATGGTCCGGTTCAGAAAAAATTGAGATTCGTTTCAAATTCCATTTTTTCAGTTTAGCACCATACTAATAGAGTAATTATACTTTAATTAGGTTTCCATATTTATTTGTTTTTTGTTTTTTTTTTTATCAATAACAACAATTTGTTGTGAAGAGTATCCTGAACTGTGTAAAATTGTTCAGGATACTCTTCACAACAAATTGTTGTGTAAAATTGTTCACGCATTTTTTAGAAGATGGGTACTGTCAGAAGGTTGGGAGTTTGGTCGAGAGGTAGGGGAGGTGGTATGGGCTGGAATGAAAGAAGGTAGTGTGCTCTCATGTAGCTGGACGGTATTAGAGGATAAAATGGCAGGTTTTGAGGAAGAAATAAGGTCGGAGTATGGAAAAATATCCTCATAAAAGCGAACATTCCTATTGATGTAAATTTTGCCACTGATAGGATCTAAACAACGATAACCTTTATACTCAGGGGCATATCCCAAAAATACACACAAAACAGATCGCGAAGATAATTTATTTGCAGAGGTGGCAATAAAATTTGGAAAACAGGCACAACCGAATACACGCATAAAAGAGAAGTCAGGTGAGTGGTGAAATAATTTTTCAAACGGAGAAAGACCATTTAAATTGGGAGTGGGAAGACGATTAATAATATAGGTAGCGGTAAACACGGCATCAACCCAAAAATTAGCTGGCATTTTTGCCTCAAGTAGCATAGTGCGAGTTAATTCAAGTAAATGTTTATGTTTACGTTCAGCTATACCATTCTGTTCAGGAGTGTCAGGGCAAGATTTCCTAAACAAAATGCCATTACTGAGAAAAATTTCACGCATACCATGATTATCAAACTCACCCCCTCCATCACTTTGAAAAATTTTAATCTTGGAATTAAATAGATTTTCCACCATTAGTTTAAAATTCTTAAAATGACTCACAACTTCACTTTTACGACTCATAGGATAGAGCCATGTAAATCGGGAAAAGTCATCAATAAATAAAACATAGTATTTAAAACCACTTGTAGAAAGAACAGGAGATTGCCAAACATCTGAATGAATCAAATATAAAGGAGAAGTGGATTTATGCCAAACTTCTTGAAAAGGTAATCGTTGTGATTTTCCTAAGCGACAAGAAATACAATCATGAGAAAAGTGCGAATTACTAAGAATATTGCCAGTCTTCCTAAGCCTATCTAAGATACGAGTGCCACAATGCCCCAACCGACGATGCCAGACTGGTCCAGGAGCAACATGTGAGGCGAGAGCAACAGGTGAGTAAGAAGAAAGTGAGATGGGGTAGACACCACCATTACTGGAAGCTCGCAGAAGCACCTTCCCCGAAATTTTGTCCTTAACACAAACAGAGTTTTTATCAAAAATCACAAAACAATTATTATCGGCACATAATTTTTGAATGGACATTAAATTATATTTAAGGTGTGGAACATGATAGACAGATTTTAAATGAAGAGGTCGAGGCGGAGTGGACAGATGCAAGTCACCAATAGTCATAACAGGTAAAGTGGAACCATTTGCAACCGTAATAGAAAGTGGTCCAGTATAACTAGATTTATTGACTAAAATACCTTCATTAGCGGTCATGTGAGCGGAAGAGCCAGAGTCAGGATACCAAACAGTCGGAGTGGATTCTCCAGTAGGAACAGCTAAGGCAGGAGTAGATGGCTGAGAAAAACGAGACGGGCACGAAACAGCGGAATGGCCTGGGGAATGACAAATTTGGCAGACAACGGGTGGTGGGACTGAACCAAAATTATTCTCAAAAGACGGGATTCCTGCAGACACATTGTTAGTACAAAGAGTAGATAATGCAGGAGTATAAAACGATGACACAACCGTATTACAAAAGACTGTACCCGGTTGTCCCGAAAATTGAGTGTACTATTGTCCGCGGCCGAATTGTTGTTGCTGGTGGGAGTGGGGCCGCTGACCGAACTGCTGCTGCTGCGCGAGGGACTGCTGCTGCGGGGGAAGCGGCTGACCAGACGCGGGAAACTGCTGGCGTCCGCGGCCACGTCCACGCCCCCGGCCACGGCGACCTCCTCGGCCGCCCCTATAGGGCTGTTGTTGTCCGGCAGCATGAGCCACATCCTGAGGTCCTCCCGATGATATGTTGGCCGAAAAAGCAGGGGCACCAACTGATGATTCCAAAGATTGTTGATATTATAATCGTGCCTCTTGATGTACCAACTTGGTGCATAATTTGTCAAAAGTAAGTCCTTCGGGAAAAAGTGTAAGTGGTCCCACAAGCGATTCATAACCCGATCCCAATCCATAAAGAGTATGTTGTAAAAGATCAGAATCAGAAACCGGGCAATTAATGGAGTTCAAATTGTCCGCTATTGTCTGAATTCCACGAACATACTCTTCCATGGATTGATTAGCCTTCTTTCTTGAATGTGTCAACTGATGTTTTAACTCCATGGAACGAGCAAGGCTTGCCGCCATAAACCGGGATTCCAACTTTTCCCAAATTGAAGCGGAATTCTTAAGAGTATGAACCTCCATCAAAACTTCACGAGAGAGAGTAGCAAATAGCCAGGCACGAATAGTTTGATCCAGTTTTAACCAGTGATAATATTCAGGATTCATGCAAGAAACCTGATATAAATCATAGGTATATAACGGTGGAGCAGGGAGCAACCCATCGAGAATGCCGAGGACACCATTCGCTATCAAGAACGACTCAAATTGAGTTCGCCAAGGTAAGTAATCTTCTACCTTCAATAATTTGGTGGTAACAATTTGATTGATTGCAGAACCAAGAGTCATACCTTGCGCCAACGCAGAAAAGGAAACCGGAATGGAATTATCCAATTGGCGCCGGTGTATAGGCTCGGTCGTGTGAGGCATACGCAGACCAGGAGCTCCGGACAAAGTTGAACCGCCAAATCGAGCTCGGACAGCCGCGGCACTGCTGGATTCGGCGTGGGAGTCGGCATTAAACAGAGGCGGTGGCCGGATTGTAGGTTGTGTTGGTGTCCATGTAAAAATCGGCGGGATCCATGGTGTATCAAGCGGCGAGCCCGAGACATGGGGATGGAGTACCTCGGACTGCAGCGGCGCTGTGAGGGATCCGTCGTGTGAAGCTACGCTCATTACCGGCACGTCATCTGCCGGCGGTGTAGTCGCGGCAGTGGAGCGGGGAGCGGCTTGGGTCTCGGCGGCGGAAGTAGTGACCGAAGACATGAGGAAAAAAAATTTAGAAACTTAGGGCTCTTGATACCATGTGAAAATAATGGAAAGGCATACCTAATGAGGTAGCCTAGATGTCATATATATATAATAGAAGAGTTCTGAGTACATTAGGAAACAAATAAATATGGAAACCTAATTAAAGTATAATTACTCTATTACATACTGGTCTGGTTCAGTACTATGTTAATCCATCATTTTGGCTAACCCCCAGTAACAATAAATTCTCTCTGATGATAATGGAATTAAGGGTGTTTTTACTTGAAATAGAATTTTTCTAATATATATAGTATTGTCTGGTTTGTTTAAGTCTGAACCTGTCTGGTCCGGAAGATGTATGAGATCTGTGTATTTTACAACTGTCGATGTTTGGTCTGTGTTGGTCTAGTCTGTGTAGGTCAGACTTGATATGATTTGATCTGCTCTGGTTTAGTCTAAGACTGAAATAAATCCAGGTAAAAACATCATAATTATTAATTATAATAGTATAACTATTAGGTCTCATAAATATATAAAACAGAAGAATCACAATTTTATACTTTACAAAACCATTTAACCAACATTATTGCCGGATACTCCGTATAAAATTCGCCTTGAAAACACATTTACCCAATCCAGTAATAATCATGCGAGTGCCATTATATAAGTTAGAGGACTAGTCAATGTTTCTCATTGCATAATAGGAATACCAACATTTAGCTCCAATTTGTGATTCTGTAACCCCGACACATGTTAAAAAGCTTTTGAGTATGCACTTCATTGAATTAAATTAAATGTTGCCTTCTAGTGAGCATGGTTGTCAAAATTTAAATATGTGTTCATTTTTGCAGTCATTAATGAGATCATTTGTGAGTGTCAATAGAGTTTTTTAGTATTTTGAAAATCATGGTAATTAAATCAAACAAAACAGAACTCATTGAATCAAGATGTTTTTACTTCGACGGTAATTTGTTAGTCTGGTCTGATCTGGTCTGGTCTGTTTAAGTCCGATATAGTTTTATCTGGTCTGAACTGGTCTTGTCTGATCTGGTAAACGTCTGTTCTCTGTGTATTTTATAACTACGGAAGTCAAGTCTGGTCTGGTCTACTCTGTTTAAGTATGGTCTGGTCTATTTAAGTATGACCTGGTCTGTTCTGTTCTGTTTAAGTCTGATCTGGTCTGGGACTGAAAATAGTCTAAGTAAGAACATCCCCAGGGGTAGAGCCAGGGCACTGAGCCAGACTGGGTCGGCAAAAAAAATGTTTTTGAAAAAACTTTTATACGAAATTTTTTAAACTAAAAATATAGACATTTCTAAATTTGGGCTAGGTCAAGGGCAAGGCTTGCCCCCTAGCTACGCCCCTGTATTGAATACTACACATATTGTTATAACTTTACAAAAACTAAATTGCCCCTACATTGAATATATTGTTATAACTTTACAAAAATTAAATTAATAAATGGACAGTTGAACATCCCGATCTAGAAAATTTCCAAAATAATAACAAAAATGGCGCTTCACAGTGCTCACTATTCAAATAATGTCACAGAACAACACATGTAGTACAATTAATGTAATTAAATAAATTAGTCTAAATACATGTGTAGTACAATTGTGCACATCCCAACCAGTTACCCCTGAACAACACATGTAGTGCAATTAATGTAATTAAATAAATTAGTCTAAATACATGTGACCATCTATATATTACATAATTTTCATTAACTTAACGTACTCCAGACCTTCTAATAGAATGTGTATCCGCCCATTTTTTGGATCATTGTTCACAAACTTAACTCTTTAAATTATCTTTCTCGACAATATGAGCAATGCCATATGAAATAACATAAATTACTACGTCAACACGCATGTTGCGTTCTAAACAAATAAATTTGAATAATGTCTTAGTACACACACATGAAAAACATACTACGTATATACAAATAACATCGTATCGTGTTTTCCGTCCAAAATGTCACTAAAGCTAACTCATTGGAAATGATGCTTGGCTATTAAGTTGTAGCTTCCCGTATTTGGCAACTCCCATGAAGTTAAGACGATACTTTTGAGTAGAGTGTCTTTTTAATTTTGAGTAGTTCATTGCAACTAATAAGTGCTCAGTTACGTATGCACATTTTTCATTTATTAGTTGTTTGAACTTTGGAATCAGATTTTTTTGTGTGACATGCATTCAGATTTCCTACACATTAACAAAGACACTATTTCAAACTTTAAGATCAAAATTCTGGGTAGACACTTCGAGCTTGTGGCTAAATGATCTCTCATTGTTTTTGGTAATATTCTTGAACTGTTTTTTTTTAACAACGTGGAGTAAATAAATTAAAAAGTCAATATTTTTTAATATCTAATGCTCTTACTTTTCTTTGGTAATGTGAAAGTTACAAAAAATAGATCAAAAGTATAATGCTCATGAGCTCATCAGTCATCACAATCTGGTTTGCATGACAAAATGTGATTAACATTGCTTTAATTAAGAATATAATTTGAAGTGACCATGACAAATTTGTTTAAATTAAAAAAGTATAAAATTAAAAAATCTATTTAAATTAAATCAAGTTTAAATTAAATTCTATCTAGTAAAATCATGCCGAACGCACTCACATTCTCTTACTTTTCGTACTCCGTAACTTGTCACTACTGTATCACATACACAAAACATTTATTTGATTCTTTTGGATTGAATCTCATCGAGATCAAGAGTTTTGACAGGCACTGTACATCTGTACATATGATTGACGAAAAATTATCATATAAATTATTATATTAGTCCTACTACGTTAAAATTCTTGTACCAGATTTATAGACATAGGTTGAATAAATGGGTGATTATTTATGTATCAAATTTTGTTAATAAGTAAATATACAGCACTTTTTTTGTAACAAAATGTATAGCACTTGAATTTCATAATTGTGATGGATTTTTTTAAAGGAACTTTCACATTTTAATAGAAATTATATAAGACACGTTACTTTTGGAGCAATATAATATGATATGTGGATATTATTTTGAACAATTCAATATGGTAATGGTACGTGTGTTTTATTTATTCTAGGATATCTAAATTTGCTTTGTTAACACGTGTCCTATACTAATCATATACTTCGTAGTTCGTATTCATTATTATTATACGAAGTATATAGCTTACCATTTTTGTAATAATGATAACGTTGCCAAAGGGGTGTAGTTGGCCGTTGGTCGATTCTGTTGGTAATTGATTGGTCACAACGGATTCTGTTGACTGTTTTGATTAGCGGATAGTATCAGCGGTTTATAGAACGATGTTTGGTTAAATAACTGTTCGCAATCGGCTAATAACTTGTTAAATGACCTTAACTACTAACCACTTTTATATACGTATTACACACTATAAGTTTTATTTGAG